AGCGGGCCGGAGGGGCTGACGCCTGAGCAGCTGCGGCACAGACAGGAGCGGCTGCTGACCATCCAGCGCATGCACAAGATGCTGTTCCCCGAGCAGGCGCAAACAGCCCCACCTAGCGACAGCCTCGCGCAACAGCAGCAGATCGACCTCGCCAGTCTGCAAGGTCTGCATTTATTTATTTATTCAAAATTGGACGTTTCGAATGACATCCGCCACTCTTCTTCAGCATCAGTAAGGAACTAACAGAACTCATTAACACTTATATAGGAGCAACTTGAAAAAACAGTTGAACATGGCAAGACTCATATAGTCAATGATTTGTAAAGGAGACTGTTTTTTCCAGTAGCTCATATATAAGTGTTAACGAGTTCTGCTAGTTCATTTGTGACTCTGAAGACTCAAAACGTCCAGAAATTATCTCCGTAATTTATCGAGTAGTAGAGTTTGAATTTCCTATAAGTATGTTGACCTGGATGCCTATTCTTCATCTATGTATTATTATTAATATTAGGTCGGCCAGGGATGCCCCCACGCGGCCCAGCAGGCCTCAACATGCAGCAACAACAACAGCCCAGCCCGGGGAACCTACCCACCAACCCGATGATGTCACCGCACGGACTGATGACATCACAGGCCAACATGATGACATCACAGGCAGGGTGGAGCGGTGACCCTTCCCAGGGTGCACCTCCCCACAAGGCAACGGCGGCAGCCATGTTGGGTCATCTGGGGTCGTCGCCGGTGGGGTCAGAGGGCATGGTGTCGCCGGGGTCAGACCAGATGTCGGCCGCGCAGATGGAGTGGCGGAGGCTGGAGGAGAGTTTTTACAGAGAGAAGAGAAAACGGATGTTGGAGCAACAGATGATGCGTGGGCAGCCATACGGGGGACAGAGGTCAGTACAAACTTTCTGTATCAGTATCTGTATAGCTGGTATAACCCACCAGCTTCGCAGGCATGGCACAGCTAGCAATATTACATTGAACGACTTGTTACACTTAATCTTTGCACAAGTGGGGAGCCGTATGGGGGTCAGAGGTGGGCCTAAACATTTATTCTTATATCCTTACTTTCTCACTCTTACTTAATGACTATTTCTCACCATGGAAAAACAATTCTACTGTTAAAACCAAAGAACCCACATTTTACAGAAAAGTGTTCCACAGCTTCAAAAGAAGTCAAACTTAATAAATTAACTCACCCACTTTATGTATATCTTACAATGTAGTATGTAGTGTAGCATAGGAACTAGTTCTTCATACCATGTCTTCATTATATCAATGTAACGTTCTTTGGGAAGATCCATTTTTCATGTTGAGTGAAAGAGACCCATTGTTCATGTTTTGGGGAAGATTCATTGTTCATGAAGTGGGATTGGCTTCCAGATGACATAAACAATGCTGTTTGAAATCTTCCCTGCAGGTACCCTGGTCCACAGCAGTTCTTACCTCAGGACTATGACGGCCCCCCAGACTCCCAGGGGGCCTTGCAGCAGACTATGCAGCCTCCACCCCCCTACCAGGACATGGCGCGGTCCATCCAACGACAGCAAACCGGATTGTCTACCTCATACGGCGAGCCCTATGCACACCAGCTGCTGCAGTCCCAACCACAGCCACAGGGGGCGCCCCAGGACAGACATCAGCTGCTGCAGTCCCAACCACAGCCACAGGGGGCGCCCCAGATGCTGCAGTCCCAGCCACAGCCACAGGG